AAGAAATTAAATGACTTACCCAAGGTCACTGCCAATCAGTTGCAGACTCAACCACTCCCTTTTTGAAAATAAGATACAATGAACTAATTGTAAGTCCTCGGGAGATTAGTACATTCCTCTACCTGGCACCACTATAAGACTTTTTAAAATCATTGTCAAAAACCATGTAAGGGCTCTGAAAGTAAACTGAAGGTCTTGGTGGGAATAACAGAACCTGTAGAAGAAGGAGTATGTTTAGTTCCTCAAAGCATAAGAATATTCATCTTATGTGTAACAACAATAATAGCAGATAACACTTACCTGCATTATAAGGGTTTTTCACACCATAACTTCAAAACCACCAAAGATGTAGACTGTATTACTACTGACACTTTAGGCATGAGGAACCAAGGCACTGAATAGCTAAAAAACATACGCAGGGCCACAGCTAGGAAGGAGCAGCCACAACTGAATCCCTGGCAATTTCGCAACAAGTCTGCACTTTCAGTCGTAGCACTAATACTTAGTTGTTTCACAATACAAAGTACAAGAAAGTAAACTTGACAATTTCCTGACCAACACCTGCACTCTGTAGAAGATAGTATTATAAAACTTTTGAAGAGACTTAAAAAGATTGAGAAACACTCAACTCCAACATTATCAATTTTAACAAAACTGCTGATAAAGCCGGGCGTGGTGGCGCATGCCTGTAATCCCAGCACTCAGGGGGCTGAGGCAGGAGGATTGCTGTGAGTTTGCGACCAGCCTGGACTACATAGTGAGTTCCAGGTCAGTCTCAACTACACAGTGAGACCCTGTCTCAAAAAAAACCAAAAAAACAAAACAAACAAACAAAAACTGCTGATAAAGTAGTAACATTGAATCTTTTTCCTGGATGATGCTAAAAAGAAAGGAAGAACAGGAATAAAAAAGGCAAAATAATTGAACTGTTATACACAAACCACTCAATTAAGCTTCTGACAATAGCCAATGTTTAATGCCCTTGAATAAAAGGGCTAAAAGCAAATCTAAAACTTCTTGCTTTAGAGGTTAAAATTTTTCAATATTTCTGATGACAGATGATTTTTTAAAAACAGAATGTAGGAAATTCAAAAAGCCTGGACTACAGTGAGTTCCAGGTCAGTCTCAACTACACAGTGAGACCCTGTCTCAAAAAAAACCAAAAAAACAAAACAAACAAACAAAAACTGCTGATAAAGTAGTAACATTGAATCTTTTTCCTGGATGATGCTAAAAAGAAAGGAAGAACAGGAATAAAAAAGGCAAAATAATTGAACTGTTATACACAAACCACTCAATTAAGCTTCTGACAATAGCCAATGTTTAATGCCCTTGAATAAAAGGGCTAAAAGCAAATCTAAAACTTCTTGCTTTAGAGGTTAAAATTTTTCAATATTTCTGATGACAGATGATTTTTTAAAAACAGAATGTAGGAAATTCAAACAATGCAGCATCATTTAAGAAGTGAGGAAAATATTTATAACTAAACCTATTCGTTTATGTAACAAAAGAATATATAATTTAGAGTGAGAACAAGTATTGGTTTATTTAGATATTGAGATTTACCTCATGAGCTATCTGGGCTACCTTCTTCAGGCACACCAATAAGAACTACAAAAACAGAAATAGTTTTATCTTGAACTCATGCTCTTCAAAGTCTTAAAAAGTTCAAAGTCTAGGTCATAAAAATCTACAACTCCCAATATCCTGTCATTATTTTATATGAACTGTAAACTCCCTTGCCAAGTTTGCCCACTCAGTTACAGCATTCTAGTGCCCTGCCCTTACATATGACATACATTCATCCCCTGGATGTGTCTTTCCAGGGTGGCAGGTGACAGTTCTAGTTTTCACAGCCCCCATGGCCTGATGCAAACAATTAAAGGCACCTAACTCCGTCTGATTTAGCAGAATTCAGAGCCTACATCTATAGAGTTTGCTAAATGCAATTTTTAACTTCATGGATTTGTGAGCTCGTGACGTGGTTACTTCTTGCAAGGACATGTGAGAGAGTAAAGAGGAGACAATGAAAAATTATAACTGATGCAGTTATGTCTTCTCAGCCTACTCTGGTGGCTTGTTTCCCTAGTTAAGGGGAGATAGCAAACAGAAAAAAGTGACCACACAGAAATTACAACCAAGCTGGCCTCCAACAGAATGGAAAAGATAAGGCTACAGGAAGCCTCCTCATCTTGGCCCTAAAACAATGGTTTTTCATAGTTACTTCCAACCTTCCTACAGAATATTTTGACCACAAAATAACAATGTTCATTGAGGACATCCACGTGGAACCTGACGACCATATTCTAAACCCTTGGAGTGACTCATTGCAATCTAAGAACACTACCAGGAAAGAAAATACAAAAGTACACAAAACAATGAAGACTGATCCCAGTATTTTCCTCTGTCAAAAATAGAAAATTAATGAGAAAGTGAAAAAACCAACAACCTTGAAGTGTCCAATTCACAAGCTCTGACCAGATTTAAGGAATTTTTCTCTTGAGTTCCATGACAACTACATCTAGAAATAATTTCAATATATATTTTAGAAAACCATCATTTCTAAGAATTGATTTATTAAAGAAAAAGCTGTGTTCATCATTTACTACAGACCCTGACTAAACACCAAAATAGTTCAACTGAGTAAAGTAAGTTGCACTTCTTAGTTAATTTCTTATACAAACCATGAGCAGCATTGAGTTTACTTCTCTGGCTAATGATGCCAATACTCAGTCCTTGGGTTCTTTTGTAGGCCTGTCTAGCTCCCTATTAATAGACCATAAAGACTTTCTGACCCTAGAAAGGCTACTCCGATACACCAAACTATACAGACCTTCTGTCTTGCTTTCAAAAGAAATCCAATCCTTAATATCCTGCTACAGTGCTTTTCTGAAGGCCCTTAAACACATAAATCCCTCTGTTTGAAGTTTATCCTCCTCCCTAGCAAGCCCAAGGACATAGCTTAATATTTAAAATAACTTTATTGTATCTTTGAAAGGAGCAACCCTTCATTCTCTGGGGGATGTTTTGTCTTTCAACCCTCTTGGATATCTTTCTTCATACAAAAGCATTAATTGTTTTCCTTCTTCAAAAGCTCTATAGTAGAAATTGCCTACTTAGTATTAACCATCAGTTAGCAAAACATGGAGAACGTGTATATACGAACATATGTGATGCACAAGGGTATACAGTGGATATACATGTGTAGGCGCAGACATTTAGACAAACGTTCACAATTACACAGCTCATAGAAAATGAATAACTTCAATGATTAACATATAGCTATCCTTATAATGTATAGGTAGATAGAGATCTAAATTTGGGCTTTTATCTATGCATTTAGACAGTATTTACATATTATAATTTGTGAAATTTACCTTTTCTTTAGCTTTTACATCTATAAGATTTCTAACAGTATTAATGAGTGTAACTCATTTCTATGACTAGAAACATTTAAGGAATATATTTTCCTCTATAGTAAATACCCAAAATTATGATCTGGTCATCTTTTTCATTTAAAAATAATTACGTCTCTCCCTCTAAATATTTTATAACTTAAGCAATTGGAAATGGAAGCAATTGTGTCAGAGAAACCAACTACCAATTCTATGTGCAGCTAACCCTAGCTTCACTTTATAAAGTACTCTAGGAATCTATATTTTCTTTAAACTGCTCAAAACTACAGAAGGCCCTTCTAAGAGTTTTAAACTTTACAAAGCATCATTTAGTCCAGTTCTAGCATTAATGTGCTCAATATTTTATCAATTAAGAATAACATTTAACAGAATAGACTGTAACACACAGGAACAGATTGAGAACAACTTATTTACATGTGTGTGCATTGATAATTTAAAAGCAATACATGAGCAATTAACAGCAATTATCTCTGGGTGGTGGGTGTCAGGTAACTTTTTCTACTTCTCTGCTTTTTTAATCTGTCCCTATAAGAACATTCCCTCTATTATTTGAGTAATAAACCTACTAAGCAAAAAATCCAAATCTATTCCTAGAATGATTCTACTAATACAAGAATACACAATGAATCCACCTATAAACGTGTACACCAAGGAACAATTTTACTGTGAATCAGACAAAAATACAGTGTTCAACAGGGGCTCACTCACTGAAAAACACCCTGGTCACCAGGACCTGTGGCCCAGTGGGCAGTGAAGTCTGGGACAACATTTACGTAGACATCAACAAAGAGAGCTGTGCATGTGACCAGTTGTACATAACTGGTCTGGTCTCAGTATGTACAGAACCTGAAGCACACACTCCATTGAGTGTATCAAGGTGACAAAGAAGAAATGTGATACTGTAGTGAAATCTCCTATTCTCTTGTAAGTCCTTGCTGCGGGACACTGAATGATCTTCTGTACCTCCTTAACATTTTGAATAACTCTGATCCTTGATTACCCTCCTGGAAACCAGAGCAGGAGGTTCCAGAGTTGCCCAAAACAGCTCCACAGGGCTCAAGAATCTAAAGTGTTCACACTCAAGTGTGCTCTGGCATATTTTTTATCCCTCTCTTTTTATGAACAGTATGTCAAATACAAAGGTTACAGATAAATATACAGGGTACTAGGATTATAATATCTACCTGTGGATCAGACTCTTAAGAAAAAACTCACATCCCAGTTCCAAAATTCTCATATTGTCAGGATAGGAAGTGTTAACAGTATATAATACTCTTACTCAGAATAAAATATCAATCCTTAGGGGAGATAATTTTATTAGAGGCTTACTATGTGGACACATTGAATACAGTCACATATCACATACTAACCCACAGACACCCCACAAAGATTTTTCAACAGCACAGAGTGGCAGGACAGATGTGGACAGCTCCCCAACCCCCCAGAGAAAGTGCCGTACTCAGCTCTTAGTGCCTGTATACTCTTGGGCTGCCCCTGACCATTAGAGAAAAGCCTCCATAGCTATCCACCAGTACTATCCTGTTCCCAGAACTGTGCTGCAATCTGGGCAAACCCCACACTTACAGCCATAAATGCATTGGCACTGAGAAAGGCTGCTGAGGATGTGGCACTCCAGGTGTGGCTTTATTTGTCACTTCACCAGGTCAGCTATTTAGGCCTAGTCTTCTCCATTGGCTTGAAGCTCTGTTCACACCATCTTGGGTAACACATCACATTATTCTTCCTTATAAAAACAAACAAACTCAAGTGAGCATTCAGAGTCAGTTCACCCTCCGAACATCTCTGTCTTCCCCTGAGATTTATGTGACACAGTTTTGATCCCACCCCTGAAAGCCTCCCGTACCCTCAACTGAGGATTGGCCACTCCTTCCTCCACTCCTCAAGCTGCCCATCTTCCTCACCTCTGCAGACGTGCACAGCCCCAGGATCTCAGCCTGCTGGCCACCACTGAGTCACCAAGAGCACAGCACTGCAGTACCTAGCACTACCTGCCATCAACTACTGCTGCAAGACCAATTACTGCACTCTTCACTTCCCACACTACAAGGAAATTCAACCGTCCTGTGAAGCTGGACCAAAAGGAAAGCAAATGTTTTCATATTTACAATGGCTCCCCTCTGAACCAGTGCATCTGAAATTTATACGGTTCTAGAGAACAAGAGCTGGATTCATTCCTAGTCAGCTCTCTTCACAGCAGCCAGTTTCTAAAGGCATTTTTGCAATGACTATAGTCCACTTCAGCGCAATACACTGCCCAAGTTTAAAATTCATAGCCAAAACTAAGACTTACAATGCAATAAGGCACCACATGTTTCATAACTGAGTATGGAAACAGGTATGAGAAATAATCAGGCCTCCTGAAGAACTCAGGAGAAAAGCTGGTTTACCAAACTCCTATTGTTGCCTTTTCTTTTCCCCACCCTACCTGCAAATGTAGACCTTCTCAAGTTCAGCTGCCAATGGTCAGACTACAGTCCTTCGCAATAAACTGACAGTCTGATCACTTACAAGCACATTGGGCAACATTCAGACTTTGTGGAATCAGAGTTAGAGTTAGAGCTAATACAGACAGAAAGGAAAAATGGAATGCTTTATCAAAACTGAGGATTTCTATCCTTCATGGATAGCACATGATTTGATACATACGTTTGCACTGACGTATACCATAGGGGCTTTTTTGTTATAATCTGTTTGTTGGGTGATTTAGCCAGAGAATCTTATATAACACATTCCTGTTCTCAACGTAGCAACATGTATGGCATTGCACTCACAAAATTCAGACTCCCCACAGTGTGTCCCAATCATTCCCCCTTGTAAGATTCTATGTAACTGATGAAAACACAAGCACTACCACCAGCAATAGTAAAAAAGAGTCAGTATCAGCTTTATCCTATATTCAAAAGCTAGCACCCTGTGGTATGATTTCAGATAACCATTTCATGCTGATTTTAATAGGTTGTATGAGCCTGACCTATGGGGGAAAGGAGTCCAGTTTTCTAAGCCTAAACACACGTGAGTCTGCTTGGGTCTTCCAGGTTTATGGTATAGGAACACTATCTATTGCCTCTGCACTGGGGTGTTTTGCGACCAAACCCTTGCATCTTATTTCCTTAACAAAGAATCAGGAGATCCGCACTGCTTTTCTGGCCCCAGAAAGGACACAATACAGCTACAGCTTAGGAACTTCCATTCACACTAGCTCAACAAACAATGTGTATTATATAATGAATGAGTTTTTTTCCTATGAACCCTGCTAGAAAACATAGGCACTTTCTGCATAGTTTAAATCACTCTATAAGGAGCTGTTACCTCTTGTGAGATCAAACAATGTACCTGGTATCAGAAATCCAAACAGCCTACACTCTTAAGATGCTTTTGGCATCACTTTAATGTCCTTGTTACTTGACAATAAATAATTTCATTCAGCTACAAACTATACAGAGAATATTTACACAGCAGCCAGCTAGCAACCGAATGATGTTGGCTTTCAGCTCCATGTTCCCTGTGTTGCCTAAGAAATGGGGGTGGGGGTTTGTGGGAGGGGGAAGAGGACGGGAGAAAGAATCAGCTATCTATGAAATACTTACAGCCTCCGAGTCTTCAATTCCATGCAGGTACAAATTGTCATACATGGAGGTCTGATAATCCAGAGCACCTCTTTTAAGGCAAAAACAAAACTGCTGCAGAAACCACAGCTACAGCTAAGAGAAAAGGCCTGTCTGGAAGAATTGAGCCTATCTTATCAATTCCTGTGGATTTACCAGGCAAGATGCTATTCATTCACATCACACAGGGTGAGGTTATCCCCAGAGGCAGTCCAGACCTGGCATTTTATCTGCCTTCCCAATACAGAGCACAAAAAGCAAAACCCTTCCTCAACCACAGACTGGTGACTGAGCTAGGAAAGCAGCCTCTGATTGGCTCGGCTTCCCTGCTTCAGTCAGCTGAAGAGCGTTCCCTGGGAGAGTGGAGGGTGACTCGGAGCATCCTACCCAGCAAAGAGCTGCTTCCTGTTTTGCCTGTATTATCAGTTCCACAATAAACACTTCTCAGTATCCAAAAGGCTGCATGAAATGTTTGGAAAAGCCGGCTATTGAACAGTCTAAACACAACTACTCATCTTCTTGATCAAACTCACAATGTGAGTGGGGAGCAGAGGAGAGATTTTATTTTCAGAGAATATTGTGTAAAGACAGCCGAACAGATACTAATCTCCATCCAACATCTGTACCTAACAGTTGTGATTTAAGTCGAAAAGGCAGTAAGTCATATAGAATTTTTTTAAAAGCTACCATGACGGAAAAAGGATGGAATAAACATATGGTAAGATTTCTTGAGGGAATTTCTATAGTAAAAGTTTTCAATATTCCCACTGAAGTCTCTGTATCACTGGCAAGAAAATACTTTTGCTTCACAACTAGTAAAGTTTTAAAAGGGTGCCAAAAAATCTCTCAGCTTTTAAATGTAAAATTGTTGAATGACTTTTTAATTTGTTAAAATTAAGTAACAGCCAATAGTTTGCTTAAATCCTTCATCTGCTTTCCTATGCATAAACCTTTAATGGCCCTAAAATAGTGCTGATCATTGCTCCAAACTCTTCTGTTCTCCTATCACACCACACTTAGGTCCCACATCCAGGCCACCTGATATATAGCCTCTATAAGTATAGATACTTGTGGCTTTTTGGTCAACCAATAACATACTGCAGCTTTGAAAGAAGAGTCTTACAACTCATTCTTAAAGAGGCCAGCTAAATTTGTGGGGAAAAAGAAGTAGGTGAGGGGCAAAGAACGCAACCTAGAGAATGTACGTGAATCCCTGGAGTAAAAAATGACCCAGAAACTCAGAGACCCTGAGCCTACTATGAGCTTCATCACTAATTGGTCAGATGACCCTGGTCCAGTCAGTCACCACCTCTATGGGTTTTTTCACCTGCCAAACTGAAGTAAGAAAAAACTCAGAGAAAGAACTCTGCAAACCTGAAGTGCTACCTAAAAACTTATCAATGGCAACCCTGATTTGTCAGCCGAAAGGCTTGGCTGCAGTTCACAGGAGCTCAGCACAAAAGTAACTGGATGAGCCTGAACCCAGGAAATGAGGCCTGTCCTTCTGGCCAGTATCTCTGAAAAGCATAAGTCTTAGCAGAACAACCCTAAGTCATAAAATGCAACCCAAGAGCTACTAATTCTGAGGAAAGTGTATACTACCAGTAAGTGCTGACGAGAAAATGTCTCTCAGTCACAGTTGCACACCTCAGAAATGACACCAATATTTACTTGCAAACATCACAGATGATGACAAGCAGACTCAACTGTTCTTTGAAATCTCAAAATAGAGTTCACACAAGTTGTTATCTTTGAGTCTATGTGCACATAGAAAAGGAATGGTGGAAGAGTCTGGGTGCAGAGAGAATCCCACACTGGCTCTACCTGTTGACAACTGTGTGTGTGGAAGCACGTGTAGAACCTCAGCATCCCCACTCCATATAGCAAGCAGACTGAGTCAAAGGATTTATAAGCATAAATTCATGTATCAGACTGTTTTTTTGCTTTTGTTTTTGTTTTGGCTTTGAGATAGGGTCTCGCTACGTAGTTCAGGCTGGCCTTGAGCTCGCTATGTAGCCTGGGATGGTCTTAAACTCACAGTGATCCTCTGCCTCAGCCTCCCAAGTACAGAGGTTACAGGTGTGCACCACTATACTTGGCTCCAGACTGTTATTTTAATCAACTCTTTAACTACAGCCATACAATGCGTTAGTCAAAATCTAGAGAAAATTGAGACAAGGTCTTTTTTCTCCTTAAATTCTCCAGATTATGTCCTTTCTTTGTCACTTCAATGGAGAATACAGTATTTCCTGATTATTTTAAATGGGAATCAATTAAAGGGAGAAGAAAGAAGCAGTCCACTTGCATAATTCACCAAAATGAGAAAAACTATTCCCTGCTGGAAAACTGTATGTGGCTCAAATGCTCTTCTGCGTTAGGCTGCCTTGGAATGCTCCTTACAGTTCATGTGAGGGTTGAAAGGAAGTTTCTTTTTTTTAAAAAAAAGGCTTGTTTTATGATATACTGATGTGCACAGAAAGTGAGTGTGACTCGGGATGAGAATCTCCGCAGAGAGGCACAGAACCAATCACAGGAGCTATAGTTATCCTTGTAAACCTACACCCAGCTCCTCAAGGATAAGAACAGATATGCAGCAGAGGTAGTCTCTGCTTCCCAGGAACTGAGAAAATGTTGGACTGACTGACTGTTAAGGAACTCCCAAAAGAAACTCACCTAAACACCGCACTTTTAATAACCAGAAAGATTAAATTGCTACATTCAAAGCTACGCGCTCTACACAATTTGAATGTTCCTTCCTCACTGCATCTTCTAAAAGAAAGGATGAGACAGTTGCATGTTCCCCAGAGGAACGTGGTGAAATAAGAAACCTCAGCTCAGAGGAGAAAATCCTGGTCTTTTTCATTCTTTCCATCCTAAAAGTTGTATAATCAAAGTCATTTGGTTACCTGCTGATGACAGCTAAAATTATAGATTGACCTAACCTGGATCTACACAGAATAAACACCACATTTACAAACCACCTAAAGGTTTCAACCCAATTCTTAAGACAACCCCAGGGTTCCAGAGGAACCTCAGTGAGATTCAGTTCTGAGTCTCCCTCCAAAATCTCTGAGGATTTCCCATAAAAGCACACTCAGAACTTTAGAGAGATTACAGAACTGACTATCTCTGTCCCAAGATTCTCTGCATTGGGCCCTGAGAAGTACTGAGAGGTCCCTGAGAGCCTCCTATTTCAGAGCACCTCAAGTCCCCAGCTTTGGGTGAAAAGCCCCAGTGATTCCAATACATTAAACCCTGAGGGCCAAATTTCAAAGGTATCATATTCCACCACAGCAAATGGTGAAAAGCAACAAGGGATTGGCACTGTCTTGCTTTTGACCATAAGAATTCTTCAGTTGAGTGATGGTGATTGAGATGATGACAGAGAATCCACCCTCTCCCTTGATCTTCTTTACTCTCCTCAGACTAAAATAACAAATTTGAAAATTTTAATGCTGCTCATCTAATGTTGCTATTTCCCATTAAGTCACCCACTGCTCATCACTGAGATGCCTCCAAACCACATGCCTCAAGTAGCCTGCCTCCAATTCTGAGTCGCTCTCTTTCTTGACTATGTTTCTGACCCATTTCCTTTCACGCTATCTCTCATTACAATCAGTGATTCAAGGCAAAAGACCCCATGAAAAGACATCACCTGTGTAAATCTATAAATCCCACATGATTCTTAGTAGGGTGATCTTCTAATCGGACAAATGCCTCAAATGACCTCAGTTAAAGGAACAAAATGACTTGGCTCTCAATAAACCAGGAAAACTACTCAGTATCACAGGAGAACATTACTTTGTTAGTCTTTGCTGGCTTCAAATTTTGGAATAGAGTCCCTTTTATTGCTCTGTACTACAGCAAACCTATGAATGTGACAGTGAAGTACACAGGACAAGGATTTCTGTTTTCCACTTATTTGAAAAGGGAGAGGAAGACGAACTGAAAAGTCAGGAGTACGATGATTGGTCATGAGTTGTAGATAGCCATGATCAAAACAACAGGTGCAAATTTAGAAACCAAAGGAAATTTTGCTATCCAATTTTCCACCCAGATTTCTCTGGAATTTAACTCTTCTAAGCCAGTGTAGTTATGTATTCTATAGCAAAATTTTGAGAGGCCAAACAAGAGACAAAAAAAAGTTTGGAGTTGGCAAAGACTAGCCTTCTTTTTGACTGTGGGCTACAATGAAAACCAAAATCTTTGCCTGCCAATTCAGCCTCAATAATTATTTTGTTCTTAGCTTTTAAGTTTTACTAAGTGACTACAGGGCTCTAGGTGAGTGCCTTTCTTTTGCTTTGCAAATTTTAATCAACTCCTTCACCGTGAGAAATCCGTAAGGTAATGTGAGTGCTAATATCATCTTGATGCCTTTCAGATAGGTGGTGGCAGGAAGTCAGAGGAATGAAAACAAAACAAAATCTATAAATGACAGAGTCTCTGCTTCTTGTATTCCTCTGCTACAGTCCCTTGAGTTTGAGTTTAGACCTCATTACCTAGGCAAATATGTCCTCAAGCCCCTCTGGGCCTCATCTATAACATGGTAAGAACAATAATTTAAAAATTAACAAGCTAGTATGTGAAACACACAGGGAAAAATAGAAGAACTGATCTTTTAATTTTAAGGGAAGTAGTGCAGAACCAGGGCTGGCTGCACTGCCCAGTGGCCCCCACACACAGACACACACACAACGCATTCTGTGTAAAAGGCACTCTCTGGCACTCTGCAGTGGAAATACTACGGGGCAGAATGGTTAAGAGCAGGAACCTCAAAGCCAGACTCCCTGCTATGTCAGCTCTGCCATATGTCAGGTAACACTAAGCAAGCTACTTTGCCTTTCTGTGCCTCCATCACCTTATTTATAAAATGAAGATTATACCAACCTTCTCAGGCAAATTAAAAACCTTGATATAAGAAAATGCTTTAAAGGGTGCCTGCCACAAAGTCGGTGCTTCACAAGCATCAGGCTGCTGCTTATGGTTATTATTTTTCTCAGCTTGGATTCAGACCTGACCTCATGGTAACCTTTGCCTCAGGGGTGGGATTCCTAATACTGTTCCTTGATGCAGGCCTGGTCCTCTCCGTCCCCACCTGGGCCCTGGTCTCAGCCTCCTGCTGCCCTACTTAGCTTCATGCCAGCTCCTTCCGGCTGCCTACCTGCTTTATCTGGCCAGACTGGCTGCTCCTTATGCTAACACTGGCACGCTTGTCCAGTCCTCCTCTGCCTCCTGACAGCACCTCCCCACAGCCCTCTGCAGCTGTGCTTCA